TTTTCCCTTTTTCTCTTTCCGTTGAGAATAAGAATCCCATGTGTGGCTCACTTTCATAAAGAATGATTTTTGTTTTTATTTTAATTACATAATAAAAAATAATAATTATTTTTTTTATCTTACTTAACTTACATATAATGTAATTTAAATTTAAAAATTTTTACTTTTAACAAAAAAAAATCATTAAATTATTTTGATCCTTAACCATAAAAAATAATTTAAGACCTATGAAAGTCGCTAATTTGGTTGAAAGGGGTGTTTGCCTTTTTATTTTATTAATTAAAGTTTAATTTTTTTGAAATTGTCCTTATGGCCGCAACCTTTCTCTTATTAACAACTTCTTATATTAAATTTGATAAGTAGAAGAGTTAAATTCTATTCCCAATATTCAACAAAATAATTAAAATTTATTTTTTAAAAAAAGTTAATAAAAATATTTTTTTTATAAAATTTTAAAATTTCTTAATTTATATTCTTAAAAACACAGATTAATCCTCATTAAATGTAATCTCTTCAGTTAATTTTATATAAAGATTTACATCAAATTTAATTAAAATAAAATAAAATATTTATACTTAAAATCTATAAAACTATACAAATCTAATATAAAAATTTATAAATTTATGTAAAATTAATTACAAATATTATAATTAATAAAACTTAATATATACGCTTAAGAGACAAATTAGATAAATATTAAAATTTTTAATCTTAATATAAATAACTTATCTTTTATTGAATCAACAGATAATTAATTTTGCGTGGCCTCACAACATGCTGTCCTGTCACTATTCCAACGGTGGTAAAACCCCTCAAAGTTTTTTTTTTTTTTATAAGAGCAATGGTTAGTAGGTTAGTATTGTTAGATGTTAACAATTAAGAATTCGATTTTTAAATCTGATGAACAACCCACTAACCTCAATGAGGCGCGTGACTATCGGGTTGCTTGATGGAGTTCGATCCCCTCAAAGTTAGTTGTTGTGCGTCTATTGGACCCTCAGTTGCTCATGGCTGCCCTTAGGTTCGACGTGGCTGATCGGTTCAAGTTCATTCTCATTCCCCCCTTCCCACCTGCATCCCAGCCATCAGGCCCATCACTACAAGAACTGTTACCGCGCCCTAGAGGTGGGTTAAAAAATTCGTAGTCAAAAAAATTCAAAGACTGACGAAATGGTTACTGTAGCTATAATTTAATTAAATTTTAGATTTGTTCGACTAAATACTAAGTTAAACCAATTAAACCAATTATAAACAATTTGAAAATAGTTCAATAGTTATCTTTTTTTTACTGCAAGTAAGAAGTTCTAAATTCGAGTCATATAACATGCTAGTAAAATGAAATAAAAGATGAAAAATAAAAGATGAAAAATAATTCATTTCAAAAAAAGATAAAAAAATAATTACCTCTTATTATGCAATCAAGATAAAAAAAAAAAAACAATTTGAATTTTGACTACTGAAGTCTAAAAATTAAAAAAACCAATGAATAAGATCAATATAATTAAAAAA